AGAATAATTTTCTCAAACAGCTTGCCTAGGATCGAGGTAAGACTAACTGGCCTATAGTTTCCCGGGTCCTCCTTCCTCCCTTTTTTGAAGATGGGAACCACGTTGGCCCTCTTCCAGTCCTCTGGTACCTCTCCAGAGCACCACGAGTGCTTGTAAAGCCGTGCCAGGGGACTTGCAATGACCTCAGCCAGTTCCTTTAGAACTCTAGGGTGGAGATCATCCAGACCGGCTGACTTGAAAACGTCCAGCCCCTCCAGAAGCTCCCTAACTAAATCCTTGCTAACCCTTGGCCCAGGTGTGCCCCCCCTGGGGCCCGAGGGGGGCCCAGCAGGGAGGTGGCTGTTCTGGTCCCTAGTTAGGAAGACGGAGACAAAGAAATCATTAAACATGTTAGCTTTGTCATTATGTTCTTGACTTATTTTTATTTTAAGTTAGCTTTTAGATTTTTTTAAAAAATCTGGTGAATAGAGATATTTTCAGAGCAAAGCATTAACTTTTGGAAAAGTGCCTAAGTGATAGGGCACCTAAATTGGTCCTTGTGGTGAGAAGGTGTTGATGTCAAAACAAATCCCAGGATTCTACACAGTAGCAGTAACCCTATAGTGTCCTAGATAATAGTATGGGTTGTAAGAAAAGGGTGCTGTTTCTGAAAGGTAGTGATCATAAATCTTTCTCTTTCTTTCCTTGGTTGCTCAGCAAAACATGCCTATTTATTTGTAAAGTACGTAATGCATCAGTAGTATCTAAGGGATTTTATACTGTTGCCCATCACCATAGTATCTGAGCACAGTGCTGCACAATATGGTAAAATAATGTGGCAATTTAAATTCACACTGCAACATTCTTCAGCCAACTCTGACCTTCCCCAAGGAAGGGGTTGACATGGCTACTTTGTTAATTTTTGCATTGTGTGCTTCATTTGTTATCCAGCATAGCAAGAACAAGATGAGGTTGCCATAAATGAAGGGTCTGGCTTAGAGGTAGGAATCACTGGAGAGCAGAAATATAGAATCCTGTATCTGGTGAACTGAAAAATGGTTAGTTGTCAGAAAAGTAGACTCAGGACTTCTTGAGACAACTGATATAACAGAGGGAATTGTTAGCATTTATGCTCTTGGTTTTTGTGTGCTTTATGGTTAATGGGGAAAGGTAGATTCTCAAGCTGCACTTATTGTTCCTGCAGCAATTTCTCTGGGTTCTGCTCTTTGTTTCTTATTGTCCAGTACTTCATGATGACACAAGATTAATTGCCTAACGGTACAAGATCCCATGTGTTGAGGTATAATAATAGAGCAGTTAAGTGTTTTGCTGTGCCTCCAGAGCTGCAAGTTCAAGACCTCTGGCTTTATGTTGAAGATTGCCCGCTAAACAAGACAGCTGTAAAAGGGTACTGAGTCTTTTAGGCT